TGTCGTCTTCTTTGCTTTTACCTATTACATTTATTTTCAAATTATCTATTATTTTTTATTATTGTAATGTAATTTTGTATATTATTCTATATTCTATTGTATATTCTCAAAATATTATTCAAATATTTATTTTTTTTTGGTATTAAAAAAATATTTAATAAAATAAATAGTTAAAAGAGCTTTTGTTGGTTTTCTTAGACTGTTTTAATCCGATTTTTATGTTTTTTCCGATTTTTAACATAATTATGAGCTCAAGTGCGCTATTCTCGGTGTCTTGTTGTATGGGGGCTAGGTGAAATATTTGAGATATTTCAACCATTTTCAATTGTGTTTGTCCTTGGATCAAAAAAGGCTCATATGCCAAATTTCATTAAGTTATCTTGAAAATTGCGACCTGACGGATGGACAGACTCAGAAAAGGGCTCTAAGTCAATATTTTTGGGTGTTACAAACGTACGCACAAACGCATAATACACTTCCCACTATAGTGGTGTAGGGTATAAAGAGATAACATTTCATTAAGAGTTCTACTGTTGTGATCTTCAACACTCTCCCGTTTTTCACTCTTCAACTGTTAACAAATTTATAACAATTTTATTAACACACAACTGAAATTTATTTGCATAGTGTGTGTATAAAATCGTTGGCCAACATATTGATTAAAAATATTATAAATTCTAAACATTCAAAACAAAATTACAAATTTATAAACAGAAACCCAAGAGTTCATAACCTCTTGAGTATGCCCATAAAAACCAGTTTTAGAACATTAGCTCTGGCTTATGTGTTTGTAAATGGTTAAAGGCAAAATGAAAGAAATGAAATGCAAAAAATTAACATAAAAGAAACAAAATAAAGACTTACTTGATGATTTTTTGGCTTGAATTTTGCTAAAATTAATGAATTTGTACATAATAACGGCAATTTGCTATTAGAAGAAAATTTAGTTTTGAAGTGAAGATGATATTTCTTAAATAATGTTGTTATTGTAGGTTTAATAATGAGAACTTGTTAGTTGAATAAACTGAGTAGATTTCTAAACAAATAAAGAAACAAAATAAACATTAAAGAAATTAAAATAAATTGATGTTAACACAAGCTAAAAATATGTTTTCTTTTAAAATAAATATTATACACACCTTTTCATGTTTCCTTGATGTTAAACACAGCTGTTTTAAATGTTTTTTTGGAGAATTTTAATTTCTTTACTTTTCCATTAACTTATTAACTAATTTCGTCCATTAAATAGTAGGTATTTATGTGGTAGTTTTTCTTCCTTTCTTTAAAGCCTTAAAATTTTAAGTCGTAGTTTTTAAGAGATTCTCTTTTTAAATTGTTAATTATACTATCTACGGTTTTTACTACTATTGTGTGTGTTGCGATAACTCATTAATTTGTCTATATACTCCTCATGATTAACAATGGTAGCCAACAAACCACGAGCATTAACAGGTGACTCATTGGGTCCATAATCTATAAGTTCATCATCTAAATTGGTCATGGTACCACCCAGAGCCCTTAAAATAGCATCACCAGCACATATATCCCATTTCTTAATTTTAGTTGAATGTAAATAAGCGGTGGCATTGTTGGCCACTACTTGCAAAACCTTATAACCAGCACCAGCTGCTGTTAAAATATTGGAATTTTCACCAAATACTGAACGTGTTAAGTCTTTGACATCGCCTGCATGTGAGCGTGACACTGTAATGATGGGATGATCTACATTGGGGACATCTGGATGTATGGAGGAGAGATATTCTGACATGGAGTGATCCACCCAGGCCCAGGCGGTTTGTCCTATGAAAGGACTGTGTATAACACCAATCACCGGTTTACCTGCCACAGCCACACACACCATGGTGGTGACATATTCATACAGTTGTTCTGTAATGAGAAAAAAACGAAATAGGTACATATGTATTTAATTCCTTTTCATTAAGTATTTTTTTCTAAACTCACCTGTAAATTCCTGTGTAGCATCTAAAGGATCTATCCATACGGTAACATCTTTTATGTTCACCAATTCATCGGGTATTTCAGCAGTTTCATGCAAAACCGTTGGATCCAAATCAAAAGTATTCGCCTCTGCACAACTTTCCTTATCTTCTTCCGAAAAGATGGTGACACGTGGAAAGATGCGATGCAAACCCTGTTTCATAACACAATGTGAGCGGCCATCGGCATCGGTGAAAGGATCATTGGCTCCTTCATCCGTTTTACCTTTACTTTTCTCCTTCAAATCCCTAGATTTGGCCACTTCCAATATTTCCATGCCTCCTCGCTGAGCAGCCTGTATGGCGCCAATAAGCAATTTACGCATATTCACTTTATTTTGATTCCTTAACATGCCATACATGGCAGGACGTTGCTCCTCCGAACCACCAAATACATAGAACAGGAAACATAATACTAGAATTGCTGCAATCGTGGCCGGTACACGATGAACTTTTATGCTACGTCCGTTCATAGTGATAGTATTACTGCTGTTGGCCGCTTTTCGATTATTTATTATCAATGGCACCGTCATCCATAAGCTGTGTACTATTAAGTATTTATGGTGTCTGAAAGCGTCTAAAAAAAGTTTCTACGTACACGGTCACGTATTAAATGTAAATGAAGGGAGATGCTGACTTAACAAACATTCTTAAAACACAAATACAATACGTAGAAATGTCTATAAAATAAATAAATAATACAAGAATGCTTTTTCTTCTTTCTTTTATTGAAAAAAAAAAGAATTTGTTGTTCTTTACTTGCTAGTTCTATTTTTTCGTTTCGTTTACATACTAGAGAAAAGAAGCGGAAAAATGTTGACGTTAAGTAAACAAAAAAAACATAAAGAGAGAAAAGGTCAGCTGTTATCATATTTTGAGTTGCCAGATGGTTGTTGATAAAATGTTTGGTAATGACATCACAGTAGGGATAAAAACAATGTTATCGATAGTTATTTTTTATTGAGCAATATAAACAATTTAAAATTTAAATCTCAAACTTAATTGATTTTTATTTTTATAAAAAATACCATTTTAATTGAATTAGATCCAATGATGTCTCATGTTAATTGGAAGAAAATAAAAAACAAATTTTCTCTTTCAATAAAGTGCTGGTCGAAAATGAAATTATATTTCAAAAAAATCTAAAAAAACTAGATTCGCTTAATAATAAATCACATAATATGTGAAACATATTATGTTTCTAAATTTTTTAATCAGTAGAAGAGTTTGTCTTTCTATTGCCTTTTAAAAAACAAAATCAATAATTCAAAAAACATTTTTTGGGGATAACTCCCGATTTTCGGCGAATATTAAAAATTCTAAATATGGAAAAAGAAATATGATAATAATTCTATGGCAATTATGTAAAAATTATGTTTCCGTATTTTTAAAATCTCCGTACTCAACTCAATATTGTGTAAATTTTTCGTAAATATCGGATCAAAACTTTTAAAAATATTGAAATTTTTAAATGTATTTTTCTATATTTTTGTATGGGAATTTAAAACTTTAAAATGTTCTTCTGAAAAGTACAAAAAAAAACGTATGTACTTTTGCCTTTATACCACAGAATTGTTGTTTGTGGATAAACTGCACTAATTAATCTGTATCTATCTATCTATCTATCTATCTATCTATCTATCTATCTATCTATCTATCTATCTATCTATCTATCTATATATCTATCTATCTATCTATCTATCTATCTATCTATCTATCTATCTATCTATCTATCTATCTATCTATCTATCTATATATCTATATATCTATCTATCTGTTTACCTAAGTATCTGATATTATTTTGTAATTACCATTTAAATAAAATCCCATATTGTTTATATTTTTCTTTAAAGACCATAATTTGTTTTATTTTATTTATAATAAAAATACTTTACAATATCAATATATCAGTATATAAATTTAATAATAAAAAATATCAATTTAGTTAGACAGGCAAACAATGAAATTGACGATTTTGTAAAAAATTAAACAAATTTATAAAAATATATATTTCGCAATAATAATAAATAAACATATTCAAAATATTGCTACGAGATTAAAATAGAATAAGTAAAAGGTGGTTTAAAAAATTGTTGATTTATTTTTTTTACGAAAATTAAATAACTTAAATACACAGCGCTCTGAATGTTGCAAATAAAATGAAAAAGAAAATAACTAAAACCAACAAATTATATAGTATTTAGTAGTTTTTCTTTTAAATATGTATATAAAGTAACGTCTTTTGTTGTAGATTCGTTTTTTGTTTTTATATGGAAATGGTTAACGAATTTGTAGGGTGGTCATGGGCAGGGTCATGGGTTTTTTAAGTGTTAATTAAAATAATTATAACATTTTTAAATAAGTACAATTAATATTAAGTGCTTTAAATAAAATTATTAAAATAAATTTGATTTCTTTGAATTTATATTAAAAGTGAAAACAAAATGTTTGTAGATATTACAATTCTATCATTTTGTTGTCCTTAGAAATATAAACTAAAGGAATTTTTAATAAAGTTTTAAAGAAATAGCCAGTATTTTGGAACAATTAAAATAAATACTTTTCAAGTAATAGTTTTATTTTATAAAAAAAAAAATATTTGACAAAATGTTATTAAAGGCTAAAATTTTTGTGTTTTAGTGTTCAACAGATTCCCAATTTGATTCTTAAGTTTTATATAAATGGAAATACAGAATCCCCAGATCTGGTTATACAAAAAGTTTTCGACATTTAGTCAAAAAACCTAAACAAATGACAAAAAGTTTAAATCCCTAACAAAACTTTGTAAAGTTAAAAAGACACACAAAAATAAAATAAAGCCATACCAAAACACCCTACACTAAAGCCTTTTAAATAACTTTTGTCAACACAAAATAGTTAAAAGAAAAGAAGGCACTACATAGTATATAATACAATTTAAAATTTTCTGCTAAAAAATGGTTATTCAACATATGAATTCATTATTTTTACTATTAATTGTTGTTTTTTGATTTGAAGACCTAGTTTTTTTTTTTTTTTTTTTGCCGGGGAGTGGTTAGGGGTTAATTATTACAAATATTGCTTATAAGTGCCTTAAGTTACTATTGTGTCTTTATTTTAAAACAAATAACTTTTATAGGTGTTTTTTATTTTTTTTACTTAGAAAATGGAAGACTTTTAAAAAAGGAGTCTTAGGATTTCTTTAAAATAAGTAACACTCCCTTACAAATTATTGCCACCATTTTCTATTCTTTTTCTTTTAAAAAGAACAAAAACTATTTCGATTTCGTACTCGTATCGTGAGCGCTGCTATTACTTGAAGATTTCTTACTGCCAAAACCAAAACGTAAACCTTTTTTACGTTTCTTTAAGGTGGAGGAGGAGGTGGTTCCTGCATTATTTTCCGCATTCGATTTATCGGAAACATTTAACTGTGTATCACTGTGATATGATTCAGTCGATAGATTCGAGTCTGTTAGAGAGCTATCAGTTTTTAATTGCCCTAAACTTTGTAGGGTAGTAACTGAGGAGGTTAATAGTAAATCTTTATCCAAAAGTAAAGAGGACGTTAAAGGATGATGTGAATGTTGTTGCTGTTGCTGATGATGATGATGATGTTGTGTCATTATTTGTCTTTCTAACGAAGTGGTGGAGAGTCGTGAGGGTGATTGTTGTTTGCCTGTCTGATCGCCGGTCGATTGTACGGACGATGAAGTCGATGAGGTAGATTGTTGACTTGCTGTACTGTGTTGTTTAACCATTTGTTTGGCTTTTGTGTTGTTAGTTACAGCCGCTGCACCTGCTCCATTTGTTGTTTGGGTATTTTTATTAAATGGTTGCAAAGGTTGTGGTCTACCCAAGTAATTGTATAAATCTTTTGCTGCCATAAGATCTGAACTTTGGGATCTTAATAAAGGGCTGTAGAAAGAGTAGAGAAAATATTAAAGGAATTAGCACAGATTTTATAGGAATTTCGCTTATAAAATTTTAGTTTTTTTGTGAAATGTTAATGATTTTAAAAGGATTAGTTTACATTGGGTTTAAAAAAAATGTAGTGAGTGGTAAAAAATTTGAAAAGTAACACGGGGGGTTTTGCTTACGTGACCCTTGCAGATTTCTTTTAAATAATTTTTATTGTTTAGCCTTTTTACAAGAATATTTCTAGTCTTTGACCTACTCTATAATGAATCTATTGATTATGGACTAGAATAGGACTAGGCTATGAACTATTTACTTCCCTATTTTCTGGTTTATTGGTAAGGTTATTGATTAGTTTATTAACTACACTGTGACTATTCTATTAACTAACCTTTGACTAAACAAGTTTATGGACTAGTCCATTGACAAGTCTATGGACTAATATATAGTCTAGCCTATGGTCTAATCTAGGGTCCAGTCTATAGTCTAATCTATGGTCTAGTCTATGGTCTAGCCTATTGTCTAGTCTATAGTCTAGTCTATAGTCTAGTCTATAGTATAGTCTATAGTCTAGTCTATAGTCTAGTCTATAGTCTAGTCTAGTCTATAGTCTAGTCTATAGTCTAGTCTATAGTCTAGTCTATAGTCTAGTCTATAGTCTAGTCTATAGTCTAGTCTATAGTCTAGTCTATAGTCTAGTCTATAGTCTAGTCTATAGTCCAGTCTATAGTCTAGTCTATAGTCTAGTCTATAGTCTAGTCTATAGTCTAGTCTATAGTCTAGTCTATAGTCTAGTCTATAGTCTAGTCTATAGTCTAGTCTATAGTCTAGTCTATAGTCTAGTCTATAGTCTAGTCTATAGTCTAGTCTATAGTCTAGTCTATAGTCTAGTCTATAGTCTAGTCTATAGTCTAGTCTATAGTCTAGTCTATAGTCTAGTCTATAGTCTAGTCTATAGTCTAGTCTATAGTCTAGTCTATAGTCTAGTCTATAGTCTAGTCTATAGTCTAGTCTATAGTCTAGTCTAGAGTCTAGTCTCTAGTCTAGTCTATAGTCTAGTCTATAGTCTAGTCTATAGTCTAGTCTATAGTCTAGTCTATTAGTCTAGTCTATAGTCTAGTCTATGTCTAGTCTATAGTCTAGTCTATAGTCTAGTCTATAGTCTAGTCTATAGTCTAGTCTATAGTCTAGTCTATAGTCTAGTCTATAGTCTAGTCTATAGTCTAGTCTATAGTCTAGTCTATAGTCTAGTCTATAGTCTAGTCTATAGTCTAGTCTATAGTCTAGTCTATAGTCTAGTCTATAGTCTAGTCTATAGTCTAGTCTATAGTCTAGTCTATAGTCTAGTCTATAGTCTAGTCTATAGTCTAGTCTATAGTCTAGTCTATAGTCTAGTCTATAGTCTAGTCTATAGTCTAGTCTATAGTCTAGTCTATAGTCTAGTCTATAGTCTAGTCTATAGTCTAGTCTATAGTCTAGTCTATAGTCTAGTCTATAGTCTAGTCTATAGTCTAGTCTATAGTCTAGTCTATAGTCTAGTCTATAGTCTAGTCTATAGTCTAGTCTATAGTCTAGTCTATAGTCTAGTCTATAGTCTAGTCTATAGTCTAGTCTATAGTCTAGTCTATAGTCTAGTCTATAGTCTAGTCTATAGTCTAGTCTATAGTCTAGTCTATAGTCTAGTCTATAGTCTAGTCTATAGTCTAGTCTATGATCTAGTCCATGTTCTAGTCTATAGTCTAGTCTATAGTCTAGTCTATAGTCTAGTCTATAGTCTAGTCTATAGTCTAGTCTATAGTCTAGTCTATAGTCTAGTCTATAGTCTAGTCTATAGTCTAGTCTATAGTCTAGTCTATAGTCTAGTCTATAGTCTAGTCTATAGTCTAGTCTATAGTCTAGTCTATAGTCTAGTCTATAGTCTAGTCTATAGTCTAGTCTATAGTCTAGTCTATAGTTAGTCTATAGTCTAGTCTATCTAGTCTATAGTCTAGTCTATAGTCTAGTCTATAGTCTAGTCTATAGTCTAGTCTATAGTCTAGTCTATAGTCTAGTCTATAGTCTAGTCTATAGTCTAGTCTATAGTCTAGTCTATAGTCTAGTCTATAGTCTAGTCTATAGTCTGTCTAGTCTAGTCTATAGTCTAGTCTATAGTCTAGTCTTAGTCTAGTCTATAGTCTAGTCTATAGTCTAGTCTATAGTCTAGTCTATAGTCTAGTCTATGTCTAGTCTATAGTCTAGTCTATAGTCTAGTCTATAGTCTAGTCTATAGTCTAGTCTATAGTCTAGTCTATAGTCTAGTCTATAGTCTAGTCTATAGTCTAGTCTATAGTCTAGTCTATAGTCTAGTCTATAGTCTAGTCTATAGTCTAGTCTATAGTCTAGTCTATAGTCTAGTCTATAGTCTAGTCTATAGTCTAGTCTATAGTCTAGTCTATAGTCTAGTCTATAGTCTAGTCTATAGTCTAGTCTATAGTCTAGTCTATAGTCTAGTCTATAGTCTAGTCTATAGTCTAGTCTATAGTCTAGTCTATAGTCTAGTCTATAGTCTAGTCTATAGTCTAGTCTATAGTCTAGTCTATAGTTAGTCTATAGTTAGTCTATAGTCTAGTCTATAGTCTAGTCTATAGTCTAGTCTATAGTCTAGTCTATAGTCTAGTCTATAGTCTAGTCTATAGTCTAGTCTATAGTCTAGTCTATAGTCTCGTCTATAGTCTAGTCTATAGTCTAGTCTATAGTCTAGTCTATAGTCTAGTCTATGATCTAGTCCATGTTCTAGTCTATAGTCTAGTCTATAGTCTAGTCTATAGTCTAGTCTATAGTCTAGTCTATAGTCTAGTCTATAGTCTAGTCTATAGTCTAGTCTATAGTCTAGTCTATAGTCTAGTCTATAGTCTATAGTCTAGTCTATAGTCTAGTCTATAGTCTAGTCTATAGTCTATAGTCTAGTCTATAGTCTAGTCTATGATCTAGTCCATGTTCTAGTCTATGGTCTAGTCTATAGTCTAGTCTATGGTCTAGTCTATTATCTAGTCTATGGTCTAGTCTTTGTCTTACTTTATGGTCCAGTTTATGGTCTAATCTATGGTCTAGTCTATGGACTAGTCTAGAACTAGGCTATGGACTAGTTTATTAACTACTCTATGCTCTCGCCTATTGGTAAGGTTGTTTTAGTTTATTAACTACACCGTGGGACTAACCTATTGACTTTTCTATTAACTAATATTTTAACTATTATACGGATAAGTTCATGGACTAGTCTATTGAACTAGTATATTATCTAGTATATGGTATAATCTAGGATCTAGTCAATGATATAGTCTATAAACTCATGTCAATATTCGTATATAAATATTAACCATAAAGATATATTTTTTCAAAATATTCTTGTTATTGACAAAAAATATTTCTTAGAAACGACTTAGGTACGTTCACACCTATGAAATATTTGCATAAATATTTTTTCACTTGTTTGTTGTAAAACATATGAAATAAAAACAGAGTTGGTTTTATGTTCACATTGTGACAAAATATTTGCCGTTTTTTGTTTCATGAAACAGCTGTCAAATAGCTAAAAATATAAACAGAAAAAACTTGTTTGCCGCCCGTTCAGATTGAACAAAATATTTGTGTGAAATAATTGTTTAGTGAAATAGTAAACAAACAGAAATTTATTTGTTTGAAATGAATAATGAAGATACTTTTCTTCTTTT